CCCCTTTCTTCTAACACAAAATGGCGAACCTACTTATCATTCACTTTCCGTCAACCCCCAGAAAAGCTTCTACCAGTGGCAAACCTAATTTTATCATATGCACATTATCAGGGAGAGCACCTAAAAATCCTTTAAAAATGTAAAACTAACTTATCATTTTCACTTATCATGGATAAGCCCTGAAATCTTCTAACACGGTGGCAAACCCTATCTATCTATGCACATTACATTCTAAGCCCAAAAAATTTTCTAACACGAGAGGGCAAAACGTAACTTTCTAGGTGTTCGTTTTCTTTTTTCGATCAAGAAATCTTTATTAACTCTTTTCGTTTTTCCTCAAACAGAAAGACAATCAGCACTGAGAAAACTATAATCAAAACTTAATTTTCAACTTGGGAACAAAAATTTTTTAGGGGATAATCTGATTATAATTATGCTAAAAAAACCCTTTGGGAAAATACACCCACCAACGAAGATCTTTTTTTAATCCTAAAAAAAGTTTATTTCGACTTTAGTCTCCTCAAGATAGAGTAGGTCACGTTTTCAATTGCAAGTTTGTTGGCTGGTCGACTTTTTCTGGAGGTTACGGGTAGGTCAAGCTCTGTTGTTTATTTTCTGGCGCTTTTCTTTGGCATTTTACGTTTTTTTTTTTTCTTCCTAGAATAGAATTCCGGGGACCATAGGTTGCGTAGTCTCTAGGGGGTGTTTTTGGGTTAGACCAGTTTCTCCATGTTGTGAAATATGCAACACGCGATGTCGCACGTCATTGGAGAAAACTTCGAAAACCTTGTGCGAAGAGCACGGGGCTCAGGAAGTACCGACTGCAGAATTGAGCTAGTGTGTAGATATGAGCGGAGTCCTTGGAGGACTAACATCAAACTAACCTCTAAATGTGTCTGTTAAAGGTAATAATATAACTGACTACCCCCCCCCCCCCTCCTCCTTTTCTCCGTCTATTTTCTGAGCTCAAGGGTCATATTATACAGTAATTTTACACCGGCCTCGCTGACTAAGTTCGGTCCGTGAGCCATAGCTTGCCCATCTCTGATCTAAATGTGTGTATAAAAAACAACAACAAAGAAACGGAGTTTTGTAATTCTTGAATCTACACTTGGCAGCAACATATTCAGTTAGCTGGAAATATTTACTGAGGCTTTTCGTTAAAGTATGTTCGGTTTCCTGGTGGGCTCCAATTCATTGTTTCTCGCGCTGAACAATAGACCACATTTCTGACGGATATAGTTTAATTTGCGAACCCTTTATTGGAGTTAGTGGTCACGACCTGCCCTCTGCAACTTACACAATCTAGTCACATCTAAAAGCAATTTCTTTAAACCGCAAGAAAAACCGTTGTTTAAATGAACAAGTAAACAAAAATTAACAACTGAGTGCGTTTGATAAATGAACAAAACGGAAAACAGTACACCTTCTGGAATCTCATAAGACAAAAGTGTCATTGCGGTAGTTACAACAGCCGGGAAAGTGCAGACAAAAAATGCCCCAAACAGACAAATGAAAAATTTGACACTTTTTCTGGCGGCTGTTCGGTTGTTCCGTAACTTGAAAACGTTCTCTAGATTTTCACTTTGTTGTCTACGGGCATTGGCAGCTTTTTTATGCCTGAAAGCCAAATATGATATTCTAAAGTAGCATATACAAATTAAAACATAGTCAATGAGGTTTAGCGATGCGTCGATAATAAAATACTCCAATGGAGGATGTGAAGCAATGCAGTATCTATGGTATTTGTCATCTCTATACAAGATTATTGGTACACTGCAATAGACCAAGCCAAACAACCAGGCAATAAGCTGCACTACAATGAGACGTCGTTTTGTTATATTTAAAATGTAGTAAAACGGATGGGCGATGTTTATATATCGATCAATTGCAATAAACGCCATGTATGTACATGACAATGTTGTGGCGCTGTAGCCTATTGCAAAAAGGACAGTGTCAATAAAGTGTATAACGTTCGTGTTAAATCTAACTTCAGTGCTGTAAACCAGGCCTTGTGTGAAGTCTGACATAGCCATCAAACAATCTAGTAGAGCAACTGAGACCATGAATATGTTGGTGTTGGTGTGCAGAGCTTTAGTTCTCAGTATCGTTACAATAATTAACAAGTTCAGGTTGAACACAACGAAGCCCAAACATATCCCGATAACAAACATATGGAAGTCACCCCAGAGTTTGACGTAGCACGTTGTGACTGTTGTGTTGTTCATGGTTTTGAATTATCTTCACTTTCCTTTATCAATTATAGTAAGTGTCTTTTTTTTCTTCGATACAGTATTAAAACAGATAATATGTAGTCGAGGTCCGAACCTAACTGCAAACGGATCATACCCTGACAGCTCCGTTCCGGTGGCATACAAATTTGCAATCACTGTTCTATTGAAAAAAAAAAACTAGTGAAAAAAATAATTAGTCCAGAACATTCTCACAAACATGAACTTTCATTAAATGTACAACAGTCGCTAGAGGTGCCAACAGCAACAGTCGTCACCAGAATTGGCAGTCTGTCCTTGATGAAAGTAGTCAGTCACGACAAGCTGGCTGTAAACAAGCAAATTGATTGCTTAGCGTACATCGCCAGTCCGAAAGAAATCCAGCCACACCCCACTTTCTGAATATCCCAAGACTAATCGCAGCGGGCACAGTAGAGAAAGATTCTACTTGAAATACACAGCGCACAGCGCTGAGCCAAGCTCTCAGCTCAGTAGCTCAAACACAGAGCCGTGTACCAGTAGCTCAAACACTGAGCCGTGTACTGTGGTCTTGATGGGAAAACTGCGTCAGCAGACAGGGGTCAGAAAAAAAACGGGGGGGGGGGGGGGGGGGGAGGGACACTTGAAGGTTTTAACGCACTGCCAACCTATTTGCATACCGGACCAGAAGTCAAGTTTAGTATAGTCAATATTTTTTTAAACAAAGAAGGTCGGGGATGACTGTAACAGATGTTTTTTCTCTCTATTGGTTGCAAATTAGTCCATGACTTACGTGGGCGCTTTATTAATATCCTACCCCGAACAGGGAAAACCCACAGGTCACGGGACAGTAAAATTAAAAGGGGTGGTAGATAAGCTGCATGCAGTATCGGGATCTAGGTTGCACGCATTCGTGGGACCTAGACAATCTTTCGTTGGACGCAGCGGTTTGGGGTTAGAGACAGTCCTAGATGTTTTAGTGTCGTTGAAAGCATCAGAAAGCCGTGAAACACAGTCTTACCATCTTATAAAATGTTGCACTGTACTGTGACGTCAACTGATGTAGGATATTAATAAAGAACCCTTACGTGTATATGATGCTACAAGCAGGCTTGCATATCTTATACTCTATGCATCATCGTGGTTACTGTGCTAGAACATACTTCACAAACTGGTCACATCGTCTGGACTGTACTGCATCACTTTCCCCAGCTCTCCTTTAGCAGATAATCTCATCACATTGCATCAACTCTTTAGCGCCACTAAAGGACTCGTTGCCGCATCTATAAATTGTCAAACAAATAGCGCTTAATACTCTTTATATTTTCCCATTGTACAGCAACGATTACTACGTTCTATCATAATCTTACAGTAGCTCTGACTACTTTCCTATAGTTCTATCACAGTAGCTCGTACTAGTTTCGCATCGTAATATTACAGTATATTCTACATTTTTATATCGTCTGTGGCCTTCTTCCTTATTCACCGGCTGTAAACTCTGGGGGGCGGGGGTCCTGGTTGTTCGTTCATTTGGACTTTGGCTTTTTGCCACGGCTTGAGTTTTGTGTGTACATCTGGTTTACTTAATTATTTGTGCTCAGTTGGCTGGTCCTTGCCTCTCGAGCAGATGGATGCACTCCAACTTTAAGAATTATGTGACAGGTGTTATGAAAGTGCTTTGATGTGTCCCCTACGAAACCCTTAATTTCACATGCTTGCTATAAATAATTCCGATTTATTTTTGAGTCTTTCTTTCTAAAACGCATCTTCTACTGCAGTATCTTTTCCTGCTGTCAGTTCGTAATTCAAATGGTCACCGCATGAAACTATAGCAACTGTTTCCACTCTATAACTGCACTCAAGCTTTAGAGGTTTCAATCTGAATTACTTGCACTCTAACGCCCGCATGATGTTTAGTGGAGTCGAACTTGATTACTTTTGTTTACGAGCGTAAACTGTTTTATCCGTACATGTACTACACTGCACATCAGCGCTTTAATAACGTCAGGGATCCTTCACAGCTAAAACGAAGGTCACACAAATCATTTTATGACGTCTAAATTCCCATGACTCTGCACAAACAGTACGTCCCTTACTATTTTTTTAATAGAACATTAAAACCATTTACTATCATGAATGAAATGAAAAGAAAACAAGGAAGTGGTTTTATTGCAGGAAAGCACATTACCACCATTGTATTGCACAATTTTTTCAAAGGAAACATAAATGTATTTTTTAAAATAATATTTGATACAGTGTCGGCGTCTGTGGCTAATTCGCTGCACACGCTCTTCGTGATGCCGGGGTACCGGGTTCGATCCCAGCTACGCGTCTTGCGTCTTGCGTTGGTTTCGACTGTGGTATCGAGAAGCTGACCGTCCAGAAAGCAATGGCAAACTACTGGATTTAAATTTGCATAGAAAAACCACAACAGCCAATGTCAGTGATAGGTTCTGCAACGTCCTGTAAAAGATACGCAGCTTATATTAACATACAATAGAGTTTGGCTTAGATATTAGTGAACGTGTTTAACACTTCACAATCCTAGAAAGCTAGTGTTTCATTTCAGCGGCAAGTGGGGGTGGGGGTGGGAGGTGGGGGGGGGGGGGGTTCTTTCACAGGACCAGAGTCGCATCCCGGGGGTTCAACGTGTAATATTTATTTCCGAACGCAGAACTGGTTACATCGACGACAACCTTTACCGCACTTAGCAACTCTCTCAGTACCACATTTGTTCTGTGGTTTGTACAGCATTAATTGTTGGCAGAATTTATTTTTACTGCAACATGACAAAGTTAAAACCTTCCTGAAGAAAAAATATTGGCTTTATCGGGACACATAATATATCAAATTAAGGATAAATTAGTGCAGAAAAAATCTAAACTAGTTAACTGTCATTTATGTGATTTTGCAAACATGTTTTATCTTTTTTTTTAATTTAATCTTTTACTAAACAGTAAACGGAGATATATTGAACATATCCCTAAATTTAAGAGGCGGTTGCATATCATGAATCTTTCAGCGTCCTGTGAGGCGCAAGATTTCGTGGCCTGGTCGTACGGGCTGTACTATGTTGTAGGAGTGTTTGGATATGTGTTTCTTCGCCTCCGCTTTCTATACACACCGTGCGTGAAGAATAGTCTCCCATTCGTTTGAGGCCTGACACGAAAGAGTGGTGCTCTCTTTCGTTGCAGGCGACAGTGAGTAACGTGTTTTTAGGGGTATTGGGGAAGGGCGGGGTGGGTGTCTGTAAGCAAGGCTTTAACTAGTTTTTTTTTTTTTTTTTTTTTTACTTCTTCAATTACGTCTCTTCTGCAAACCTCAATGGCTTCAGAATTAGTGACATTTTTGGGTCGGCCCGTAAAAATAGCCGTCCCTGGACTCACAGAAAAGCAAGGCTACTCTGCTTGTCACTCACCAATACTGACAGTTGAATGATACTCATGGCTCACAACACGAAATAAAGAATGCTTTCAGCGTTAAAAATACAAAACATGACACCCTTCAAATATAGGACCACCTGTGGAGAATCTTGCGCCCTGCGAGATCGTCTGAGTTTCTTTATATGTACCCAAAGGCGTATATATTTTAAGTTGTCAGAGATTATCTTATGTAATTTAAAACGGTAGGGACCTCAGGGTTTAATATAGTTTGGGGCCTCATCACGTCTATATTAGACCATAACGACTACATACCTCTTCTAACATGAGATGGCGAACCTAAGTTATCATATGCACATTATTATGGATAGAGCACATGAAAATGCTTCTAACACGAGATGGCAAACCTTACTTATCATATGCACATTATCATGGCTAGAGCAACAGAAAATGCTTCTAACACGAGATGGCAAACCTTACTTATCATATGCACATTATCATGGATAGAGCACCAGAAAATGCTTCTAACACGAGATGGCGAACCTAACTTATCATATGCACATTATCATGGAAAGAGCACATGAAAATGCTTCTAACACGAGATGGCGAACCTATCTTATCATATGCACATTATTATGGCTAGAGCACCAGAAAATGCTTCTAACAAGAGATGGCGAACCTAACTTATGATAGGTTTTTTTTTTTTTTTTTTTGGTCACAGAAATCCTTATATAAGCTCTTTTCGTTTTCCTCAAACAGAAAGAAAATCTGAGCACTGAGAAAACATATAATCATAAACTTAACTTTCACATTTCATCGGAACATGACATTTTTAGGGGATAATCTAAGATTATAATTTATCGCTACACCTTTGGAAATACACACTCACCAACTGAAGATCTTTTGTATATCCTAAATAAGTTAGTTCGACTTTAGTCTCCTCAAATAGAGTAGGTCACTTTTCAATTGCAAGTTTGTTGGGCTGGTCGACTTTTCTGGAGGTTACGGGTATGTCAAGCTCTGTTGTTTATTTTCTGCGCTTTTCTTGCATTTACGTTTTTTTTTTTTTTTTCGAGAAATAGAATGCCGGTGACATAGGTTGCAGTAGTCTCTATGGGGTGTTTTTGTTAGACCCAGTTTCTCCATGTTGTTGAAATATGCAACACGCGATGTCAACGTCATTGTAGAAACACTTCGAAAACCTTGTGCGAAGAGCACGGGGCTCAGGAAGTACCGATCAGAATTGAGCTAGTGTGTATATGAGCGGAGTCTGGGAGGACTAACATCAAACTAACCTCTAAATGTGTCTGTTAAAGGTATACCTACTCCCCCCCCCCCCTCCTTTTCCCGCTATTTTCTGAGCTCAAGGGTCATATTATACAGTAATTTTACACCGGCCGATCGTGCTGGCTAGGTTTCGGTCCGTAGAGCCATAGCTTGCCCCATCTCTGATCTAAAATGTGTGTATATTTTCTACGGGGATTGGCAGCTTTTTATGCCTGAAAGCCAAATAGATATTCCAAAATGCAATACAAATTAAAAATGCAAGAAGGGTTTTGCGATCGTCGATAATAAAAAACTCCAATGGGGGATGTTTAAGCAATGCTGTATCTATGGGATTTGTCATCTCTATAAAAA